ATCAAAGTCACTTATTACTAGGAAAAAAATCAAATGAAAAATCTATTTTTTCCCACAATGGGGCATCTAAAATATACATAGTATTTGGGGATGTAAATGAAGAGAGTTTTCGATAAACTGTTCATCAATTTGTTTGGTTTTTGTTCGTTTATTAAGCTTAATAAATAATATTAAATAGTATTTTTATGTTTTTTATTAAACGAACCGAACACAAATAGAGGTCTGTTTGGTTCGTTTATGTCTGTGAACAAATTCGTTTAAAATTTATTTAAAACTCATTCATTTATTATTCATTTACTATTTGTTTGTTGTTCGTTTATAATAATAATAATAATAACAAAATTATTTTTTTATCTTTTACCTTAATCATATTTTAAGGTTTGTTTATATTCGTTCAGGGTTTATTTGTTTAAATTTGTTGGATAAGTTGTTCATGAACAAGTTCACTAAAAAATTCAATAAAAGCTCATTAAATCCCTTTCAAATTAATACTTTTAAGCTTTAATATCTTTTAACTAAGTTCAAAACACAACTTAATATTGCATCATTAATAAGTATATATTACATATGTTAAAATCAATCATAATTTTTATAAAAATTATTATTGTATATTAAATTTTGATAGACCCAAAAATGACCACTAGTGATAAAAATGAGACTTAGCTACTCAACATCCCACATTAAAAGAACAAGTGAAAGTAAAGAGCCATGGTTCCTATAAAAAGAAGTCATTCCTAACATCCCACATCAAAAGAACAAGTGAAAGTGAAGAGCCATGGTCTATATAAAAGAAATCCTCCTATAAACTTTTTCTTTTTAAGTCAATAGTCAATCATGTGCTTGACCCACATAAAGTGAGCTAGCTTAGACATTGGCTTTTTGTTGTCTTTAGGACTAGTTAAATTTTTTTAGCTAAAGTTGCAACCTCTCAACCAAATTTGAACAAAGATTTTTAGTTCATGAAAACTTGGCTTGTTTTTAGGATCTATTGAAGTTAGATGAGTCGAATATAAAGATATTTGGTTTGGCTTGTTTACAGTTATTTTTGTTTGTTTGGTTTATTGTTCATGAACATGTTTGTATATGTTTATGTTTGTAAACATATTCGTTTAATGTTTGTGAACGAGCTTACGAGCTTATTTAACTTAATTGAATTGAATATGAATCGAACACGAATATTCTACCATTTAAACCAATCAAACTTGAATGAATAGAGAAATTTTCTTATTGAACATGAATCAAGCTTGAATACCTCTAAAAATAAACAAACAAACCATATACATATGTTCATTCATTCATATTCAGTTTGTTTACAACCCTAACAATATTGAAGCAAAGTTTGCAACTTCCATAATATAGGTATATAAACTAAAGAAATTTCATATTTTATTTCCAGCATGCAAACACTCCATTTTATTTAAAAAATTTTCGGGCATCAAAATGGCCTTCGAATTCTATGCAAAATTGTAATTAGGCCTTAATTAATGAAATTGAATTTTAGGACCAATGATTAAAAGCCCAAAGTATTTCTATTATTTTTACTTTAGTTTTTATTTAAGTTTTTGGTTTTTTTTTTATTTTTATTTACTTGGTTAAAGGGCCAATGGATAAAAAAAAGTTAGAAAAAAATAAAGGAAAATGTGGTGATTTTTGTAGAAGGAAAACTTGTAGATTTGGTTCTTGGGTTCCATTGAAAAATGAAAATATAATGATTCATTGTTTACTGAAAATACTTGGTCCCCAATTCATGGAGAATAGGAAAGATCACAGAAAAATAAAATTTTAGAAATTTTACCAAAATTCAATGGGATTCGAGTTTTCCAAATTGAGGTGAGATTTCATCCCTAAAAAGGGACCCCAAATCTTTAGTCAAAGACACACAAGTAATGAGCAGTCAATATAGCTAGCAATATCAAGTAGCTAAAGCAAAATTTTTCTAGGTTTGGTTCTGGGTTCTTGGTATTTAAAATTTTTTTGGTGTTTTGTTTTTTTGGTTTAATTTTTGAAGATTCTAGGGTTATGTTGAAGTTGTTGTGTTTCTGGAATTTTAGGAAATTCTTGAAGTTTGTTTTTTGGTTTTTTGAAAAATTTTGAGATTTTTAAAGATTTTTCTAGGTTTCTATTTGAATTTTGCAACAAGGTTCACAGTGGTTAAAGGTTTGCACGGCGGTCAGATTCTTGGTTTTTAAATATTTCTAGGGGAGGCTTGAATTTTTTGACACCATTTGAAATTTTTGGTGTCAAAATCTAGGTTTTTTGGTTGGTTTCTAGAACTTGTTGAGTTTTCTAGTGGATTGTTTAGAGAGAAAGAGGAGAAAATAAAGGCTAGACAAATGAGGAAAGCAATTTTGAGGAAAAAGGCTAAATTTTAACTTTTATACCAAGTTGAACGAAGTTGTTTAGAGGGGGTAGATTCGCGCCTTGACCCAAAGCAGATTTGCACATCAACCCGCTTTGGACCTAACCTAAATTGTAGATTTTTATTTTTCTTTTTCTTTTTTCTTTTTGATTTTATTTTTTGGTTTTTCTTTGCCAATTTTTTGCTATTTTGTTTTTTTCTTATTTATTATTTTTAATTGTTATTGAGTTAAAAGTGATGAGGAAGAGAAAAAAATTGGTCAGATTTTTATAGTTTATTTATTTGCATGATTTATATTATGATATTTATATGCATGACTTTTATGATATTTATGCATGAATGATTATAATATATATTGGCATGATATTTTGCATCGATTTAATTTATTTGTATAAGTTATTACATAATATTGCATGGGTTACAATGATTTGCTTGCATAATATTTTTGCATGATTTTTTTTTTATATTTATTGCATGATTTTGGTATGATTTTTACTATAATATTTTGGCAAGATTTTTTTAAAGATATTTACATGATTTATTTGCATATTTTGATTGTGATATTATTACATGATATTTTTTTATAGAATTTTGTATGGCATTATTTTGTAAATAAATGAAAGGAATTGAAATTTGATTTGTAACAAAATATTTAATAAATCCAATGATAGAGTCTCTTCAAGTGAATAATAAGTTTATCTTAAACATTTTTGAGATGAAGGAAATTTTTTTTAGTGAAAGTCTAAAAACTTTTTTCCAATATTTAAATATCAAAATTCATAAAAAAATAATTTTTGATTAAGTCTTAAACAAGATAACGTGTAATTAATTTAGTATAAATTTTGGAGAAAAGAAAAAAATGAAAGAAATAACTAAGAAATATTTACAGTTGCTGATGAAATTCAATGAATTAGACTTACTGAATAAAAAATGGAAACTTATTAATTTTTTTCATATACAAAAAACAAGGAATAGAACACTTCAATAACCTCCAAATATAAGCAAAAACATATTTCTGAGTAAGAAAGACCAAAATCCAACAAAAACTCAAAACAGGTTCTGAAAATTATTACCTAACATACCATTAATTTAATATTCAAAGAAGCAATGAATTCAATTTTAGTATCTTCACTTGGAGGAGGTAATGGGTCAAGAACTGAGACCTCGTCAAGAGCTGATTTTAAAACAAAACTTCTTTTCTTTTGAGGATGCCGGTTAACTTTAACAAGAAAAGGAAATCCATTTTGTAGATTGAGAGAGAAATTTAAAATTAAAATGAAGGCCAAGGGTTTAGCTTGAGGGTGTTTTTAGAATTTGATAAAAATTTAAATCAAATTTGACTCCGTTACCCTTTTTTTGGTAATGGCAGTCAATCACAAGGTTATAAGCACGAAAAAAATTTACAAGTGTGTAAGTGAGAAAGTTGAATACCATAGGGGATATATGTGAAATTTACCCTAAAATTAAAACATGTAATATTAAAAAAATAGAAAGACCATTTAGTCAAGACATTTTAGGATGATTTAAAATTATTTGATGTCATAGTTGTTATAGGAGTATTAAAATTTTCTCCACGCAAAACCAAATATTTGAACCTAATTTTGATTAATAGATCAAAATTTATTATTTTTAGGCATACTTAGTCAAATTTAGAATTTAAAAAAAAAAATAAATTTACTTAAGTGTTTAATCACATTTAATCAAAAAAATTAATAACGACTACATATTTTAAGTTTAATAGATGAGTTCTTGAACTTATATGTTAAAAAACATTATAAATTTTAAAAAAAAATTATTAGCCCGGTAAACATCATTCATATGGTCTCAGTCTCACCTCTCCTTCTCCGACCTTCCCTATAGAGTATAGTACAAGTGTCACGGACCTAAGGGGGAGTCCTGAATCCCACATCGAACATAATAGGAGGGTCACTGGGGTATAAAAGGGTTCACACCATCTCCGCCTTGTGAGGCGCCTTTTGTAGGACAAAACCGTGAGGTCAGGGGGGTCAGAGCGGACAATACCTCACAAGGGTGTGAACCGTGGCAGGTAGGCTGATCTGGGACGTCGGAAGGGTTAGTATAGTATAAGGATGTTGATCATCGATCATGCCAATGACTCCGTCTTTTGTGGAACAATTTAAAGACGTGTATTTCGGGTGTCCAAGTCTTTTTTCTATCTTTCTTTGAAGTGGTGTATCTTTCAAACAGCATAGGCCTATGCAAAGAATCGGATTAACATTTTCCGTACAGTTCTGCTTTTACCGCAGTCTTTACTTCAAATGGGTTATTTTTATTTTCTCATCCTTCGTTGCAAAACTTTCGGCGAAATTTCTCATCTTTTATAGTCTCTGTCTGCAAGGCTCATTCTCTAGTAACTATAATTCCAGAATGCATTTTCGCTGCGTGCATCCAAATCAGGTTGAATTTTCTACAGAGATACGAAAATCTCTGTCCTCTGGCAATGGCTGTGGTATATTTTCGGAAAGTGGACTAAAGAAAGCATTTTAGTTTACAAAAAGAAAGGATGGCAAGGGATTTGGTGGAGGATAAACATACCTACACAAAATTAAAATTATCGAATTTAATTACTTAATTTTTTTATCTAATTTTAACAATTGGGTATCTAAAAATAAATAAATAAATTAGATAATATCAAATAACAACCGTAATTATAGAAAATCTATCTTTAAGACCTGAGACCTGCATTAAGTAGATTTATGTCATAGAATATAACAACCAGTAATTTTGAACAAAATAAATTCAAGCATGGGAAACAGAAAGAGCAAGCCAATTGCTGGTTTCTAATTATTTCCCATGGAACCAGCTATCTCTCTTTGAGGCACATTCTTGTGTTGTGTCACAATGAATTACAAATGAAATTAGTTAATAAGCAGCTTTAATTAAACATGACAAGTTTCTTTCCTGCCTCCAATATGCATTTCATGGTTCACAAGTTGTGATAAAGTAATCATTCGGAGAGGAATCTCCAAGGATTTTGGGGAAGAAACAAACTCTTTGGACACTTCTTCCATCATTGGTCGGGACTTTGGTTGCGGATTTAAGCATGCCAATGCCAGTGTAGCGGCCTGAACAATATTCTGTGCAACCAGTTGGCTTGTTGGGGGTGGTAGACGTTTGTCTAACACATCAATTAGCTTGGCATTTTGCAAAGAAGATGGTGATGACAAGAGATCTCCAGGATGCTTTCCCATTAATATTTCCAATGCCAAAATTCCAAAGCTATACACATCACATTTTTCAGTCACAACTATTGTGTAGGCAACTTCTGCATACACAAATTATATGCATGAAAAATTATAACATAACATAAGATAATAAAAAATTAATTCACAATAATATTTTACTTATTATTTTCAATTAATTACGATTGAATATTTACTACTAAGTCCAAAAAAAATTTCATCCCTTTAAACTTAGGTGCTTCATATACATTTTGAGGATGTGCTTACAAATTAATTTTTCTTAATTATATGGCTAGAAAATTAGAGCTAGATTATATAATTTTTTAATAATTAATTAATGGTGTGTTTTAATTGATGATTAAATATTTAACCTTTACAATTTTTTAGTGATGTAACTAATCAAGCAATATATAATTACTTCTTTTTATGATGTTACACATATTACGATCATAGATTTATTTGATTATATTATTGGTAAAAGAGTTTGGGAATTTTTTTATTAAATTGCCTTATGGTTTTTATATTTAAATTTTCATTTTAGACATAAAATTTATTATATATTAATGTTGTTCATGAAAATATAGTTGTTAGATGTTTATTAAATGAGGATTACTAATCATGATCCACAAACTTAACATACTACTTATTAATGTAAGCGTAACAATTAATTACTCTTAATTATTTGTTCAATTATAAATTTATTTTGAAGCCAATAAAGTAGTATAAGATGCAAAAGAAAATTACCTGGGGCTATATAGCCACATGTACCAGCAAGAACAGTCAGATTAGATGAATCAAGATGTAGCATTCTAGCGGTTCCAAAATCAGCGATAAAAGCCTCCAAGCTTGAGTTTAGCAGAATATTGTTACTTGAAATGTCTCGATGAACAATTGGAGGGGTGCAATCATGATGCAAGTAAGACAAGGCATGAGCAAAGGATTTGATGATCTTAACTCTTTTTATCCAATTCAACTCTACTGCTTCATCATCATTACTTAGGACCCAGAACAAGCTTCCTCTTTCCATGTATTCATATATCAGAAACATGCACCGCCGGTGTAGACAATATCCATGAAGCTTCACAATATTTCGATGTCGAATTTCAGACAAAATTTTCACCTCATTCCTGAAACTCTTGTCGAAACCCGGATCCTCAGCTTCAAGGCGATGAAGTTTTTTTAAAGCAATTGTTTTACCACAAGGTAGTTGTGCTTTGTAAACACTTCCATAACCCCCAGTTCCAATGCAGTATCGAATATCAAAATCTTTTGTTGCTGCAATAATGTCTTCATATGCTATCTTTCCATCAAAGTTCCATATTGACCACAAATCCCCATTTTTTGTTGTTTGTGAACCAGATTGGTTCTTTTTGGCCTTGAACCGCCACAAAAGCAAACACCCTAGAATAGAAAAAGTAGAGAATATGGCAATAGGGAGGAATATTTTCGTGAAGTAAGGAGTGGTTGGTGAATCACAGAGGTAGGGTGATAAATCCTTGTTGCCTTCAAATGGATAGGGATAGATAGTCTTACAACCATTATTGGTATCAACAATTTTGAGATCAGTGGCCTCCAAGACAGGGATTCCACCTGAGAGATTGTTGTAGCTGAGATTTAAATATTGTAGATTTGAAAACTTGCCGATCTGAGGAGGGATGTACCCCTCTAAATGATTGCTGCTTAGGTCCAAATAGGATAAACTTAAGCAACTCCCAATTTGAGGAGGGATGTATCCCTCTAAATTATTGTTGCTTAGGTCCAATCGCCACAAATTTACGCAATTCCCAATTTGTGAAGGTATGGAATCACTCAATTTGTTTTTAGAGATGTCTAATATATTTAGTGCTTCTAAATTCCCAATTTCTTTTGGTATAGGACCTTCTAAAAGATTTGAAAGAAGGCCCAGTGTTTGCAATTTTGATAAATTACCGATACAAGAAGGGATTGAACTACTGATTTGATTTTTTCCAAGGGAAAGTATGAGCAAGTTTGTCAAATGGCACAGAGCTGGAGGAATCGAACCTGTGAATCTATTATTATAGATGGCGAAAATACGGAGGTTCTTTAGCTTTTCAATATTTGGAGGTATGGAACCTTCAAGTTTGTTAGAATCAAGGATCAGAGTTGCCAAATTGGTTAATTGATGCAGAGTAAAAGGTATTGAACCAACAAGCATATTGCCCGCAAGAATCAGAGACTTGAGATTGGTTAATTGACCCAAACCAGAAGGGATTAGACCAGCAAACTGATTCCAACTCAAATTTAAACTAACAAGGTTTTTCAAATTCCCTAGTTGTGGAGGGATGGAACCATTAATGTTATCATTATAGGAAATGTCAAGAAACTCTAGTTGGGTTAAGTTTCCTAGGGAAGAAGGTAACTCACCAGATAACTCACAGGAGGACAAGTTCAGGTACTTCAATGCGGATAGATCACCTATCTGAGGCGGGATATTTCCACCAAGTTTACGATCGCTAAGATCAAGAAGGACAAGATTTGGCAATGAAGAGAAATTCAATTTTCCAAATCTATCACCAACTGGAATCAAGTCAGCAGATGGGTTAATTTTGGTGATGTTTCCTGCATTGTTGCATGAAATGCCGTGCCACTTGCAACGTTGAGAAATATTGTTGCTATAGCTACTCCACCAGCCACTCTCTAGCAAAGCCACAGCTTCTGATTCCAGTGAAGATACTGCTGCTAACAGGGTTGTAGCAAAGGAAAAAAGGATGGTACTCCACAACACCACTAAAAAAATGGAATTGGTTAAGGATGAGGCCATGTCTATTTAGCTTGAATATCTGATAAAGGTTCAGTTTATAGCATGTTACGATTTCCAGAGACTAATGAATTTATATGAAGATAGAGTAGTCGAGGTCTTCTTCTACTTTTTGTTAGTCAATTGTTGTCATTGATTGTTATGTAGATGTCATGGAATTATACATATGAATAATACATTTTCCCAGCAATATGGTGCATAGACTTGCAATACCGTGTTTAGATGACTTGAAGAAGACAAGTATCTTTCCCCGTTGCTAGTTAATCTTTAAAGTATCTTTACCAATCTAAAAGACTCAATCCTCTCTTTGATTTTAATACTTCAACAGTTCTTTTTTTTCTTTTGTTTTCAGCCATAAAATTAAAATTTTTTTTATCTAAAATTAAGATGTAATTTATAATATTAAAAATGATTTTTTATAAAAATTATACTAAATTAAATTTTGAATTGATCAAATCAAATGCAAGTTACACATATTTTTCAAGTTGAGATTAAATGTAAAAAAAAAAAGCCAAGATATCAAGATTATTTATATTCAAGTGAAACAATTAAAATATCAAATCAGATTCAGTGTGAGAAAATACACCCATCTCATCCCATTGCTATTCCTAATTTTTAAGGCATGCTATCTCTTTTATTTCTTTTATTCTTTCGTTTTTTTTTCTCCTTTCCAAGGAAGCAAAAACATGTACCTGTAACAGCCACATTTTTCATATGTTTTCTCCATTGAACAGGAGTACATGTTCATTGACTGCTATTCATACAAATGGAAAAGAAAACACTTGGATCAATTGAGAATTTCTGTCTTCCATAGGCAGCCCAAATAAACAAGATCATTTCACACATTGTAGCATTGTGCTCAGACAAGTGCAAGAAACAGTCCACATTTTTCAATGTTTTCTATCTCTAAAAGCTAACAGTAAATTAGAAAAGGATCCAATGTGGACTAGCTTTTGCTTGGATGTTTTCTAACTGATTAATAATACTACTGGAAAGAAAGTTCAAAGAAAGGACAATATTTACTTGCGCTTTCTTCTCCGTCATACAATTTCTTCAATTTGCATGTATTTTTTTTCTAGCTGGAATGTTACCAATTTTATTTTATGTATAATAAGCTGTTGGTAAATAGCACAGATGAAATGTTATGTAAAAACCGAAAAATTTGTCTTTCAAAATGTTTTAGACATTGTTTCTATTAATTGTCTTCTTTTTTGGATAATTAAAAATTGTATTAAAATTCAAAAAAAAAAAGTAGATTTTAGTCTGCTACATAAAAACATTAGGAGTTCAAGTCTTACCCAAACTAAACAAAACAAAAAATAATAAAAAAAAAACAACCAATTTTCGGAGTCAAAGTCTTTTCTATCTTTCTTTGAAGGGTTGTATCTTTCAAATGAGATAGGCCCATGCATAGGATCATATTAAATGTGATGACTTCTAAGCTTTGAAATGTTCTGTATTCTACGAATAAGTGACAATACACGCTACTTCCCAGCAATGGCAAACCTTACGTGTCTTTCACGTCCATTGACTTGCAATTAATGGAAAATAGAATCCATTGAACCAAATTGGAGAATTTTTTCCTTGATGGAATAGACAAAGAACAAATTTTATTTTATTTTTCTCTCAAAAAAAAAAAGCAAAATTATTTTTCCTGTATTTTGGTGCATGTTCTTCTGCGCTTCCTAACCTTTTATTTTTCCTACTTCTACACTTTAGAAAGAAAGAAAACTGATTACTAAAGGTCTCTCCTTTCATGCTTTCTATACATTAATTGCAAAGAAAATTCTAAGATTTCTTCCTTTTCCAATTCTCTGTTTTGAATCTCACTTCCTCTCCCCAGGTGGAAAATTTTATGATGGGCATTCAACCTAACATTAACTGAAAATAAGAGGATGGATAATTTATTTTAACAATTATCTAATATACCTTAGCTTTAATTGATTTAATATTAATTATTATAATCATTGAAAAAAGTTTTTTGATAATACCATTTAAACCATCTTGATAGAATTGTTTATACTCTCACACAATTTTGGTAATTAAGCCAATGGTAATATATGAGATGATATTGGTATTATATAGTCCAAACTCTTGAAAATCGAAAATTTTGATATTATGATACTACAATGTTGCCAAACGCAATGAATGATGTCAAAGAGGCAAGAAAAAATGCACGGAAAAACAAAAGCATGAAGAAACAAATAATTCTTTTCAATTTAAAATTGAAGCCCATCGTTCATGTTTATGCTCTTACACAATCGTGGTAAGTCAATGATGATATATGAGATGAACTTGGAATAATATAGTACAAACTTTTGAAAATTGAAATCTTTGATTTTATGATACTAAAATATTACCAAACACAATGAATGATAGCTAAAAGGGAAAAAAACACAAAGAAACAAATAATTCTTTCCGATTTAAAATTGAAGCTCAACATGAGATCTAAGATGGCAGAACAATCGAAACCTAATTGTCAGCATGCATGATGTGAAGAATATGATTCATTTGCACCCTTTTCCTTCCATATTTCAGGATCCATGAGTTGCAACAATGAAATTTCTCCAAGAGGCTTTGCTAAAGGCCTTAGTTGACGAAGAAACTCATCATACGCCTGTTTGAAAGAGATTATGAAAGTGATCGAGAATGAAGCAATGGTTGAGCTTATTTGAAGCAATGGTAGTGTAAGTCAAGGTATCAAGCAAATTGCGTGCAATGACTTGAATATTCAATAATGACTTTTCTAACCTAGAAATATTGCACATTTATGATGAAAATGCAGCATAACAGCAGCACGTCGACAAAGTTATCTTGGGAACAATTTTTCAAATGGTCCATGTTTTTAGGATAATGATGTTTACTTCATTACTATCCCCAGAAAACTCAGGCAAGTTTCTCATCGTCTTCTTTCCCTGTTTCAGTGTTCACATTGTAGCCAAATTTTCTTCAAGAAAGGGAAAGAGTGTGCAGCACTGATTGACTTTGACTTGGCCTTTATCCTTTCCTAAGCGAATAACAAGGTATAGGTCCAGTTTCAGTAAAATTTTCATCAAAGGAATTCATGTATGAAAAGGACCAAATCTTTGCTACAACAGATAATACTTTAGAGACCAAATTTTTCAAAATTTCACGAGATAATTATGGTTTTTGGTTCACATTGCTACGGGGAGAATACCAGATTATTAGCATGGAGGGTTAATCACAAGGGAAAAAATATAGCCAAATATAAATTTTTACATTTAGCTGAAAGCAACAGTACAAAGTAATAAACAACAGAACACAATTAAAACTGGAAACCCATACCGTATTTCTTATTCTGGGATAACCCATGCGGTTATTTTAATTGCAAGAAACTTACTTCTTACGTAACTTGATAAGTGACCTTGGTCTCTGATATCCTTCTTCCTTCTTTTGAGGCATAGGTTCTTTGCCAGTCAATTCTGGTTTCCAGCATGCATTGATAAGAGATTTACCCAACAAGTCAGCAACACCGATAGCCATTTCTTCTGCTTTTTTCACGGAAGAAAAGGTTTCCTTTCCTCATTGAAGTGGTTAGATAGCCACAGATACATAGATAAAACTTGATGCTTAGTCTCAAGATCCAAGAGTTCTGCATTATTTTTAGCAGAACCTTTTGGCATGCCCATTGCTAGGCTATCCAGGACATTTTGATTGTAAGCTGAAGAAAAACCTAAGCAGATGATACCTTGCTTTCGGGTCTCTAACATTGACCAGAGCAAAACAAACGTTGAACCGAACTTCCAAAGATATTCCCTGCATCTTTTCCAACATATTCGCTACCTTCTTAATACGATGATATCAGCACAAAAAGTATGAACCACCAGACCGTAAATTTCGCCAAAATTTTTAAGTAACTGGCAGAAACTATCATTAGGGAATTGCCCAGCAAACAATTCAACCTGCTCAAAGAAAGGAAAGAGACCCACTTTCTCCACTTCTTCAAAGGGTTGCTTTAAACACTCAATTCGATAATCCAAATCATTTAAATTCAAGGTTGTTGTCAGTCCATCCGGATAACAACTTCCTCTACGACCTGCTCTTTCCGCAATTTGCTTAACCTGTGATGCTGGGACTGCAACAATCTTGTCACCATTGTACTTTGAAAGACTATAAAAGACAACTCTACTAATATTAAGATTCAATCCCATTCCCACAGCATCACTGGCAATAAGCACATCAAATTTTGATCATTAAACAAGTTAGCTTGCTGTCTACGAGTCTCTGGTGGCAAGGCACCATAAATAACACAGCAGCGATGACTTGTGTTTTTCTCAATAGCCATTTTCACCTCAAATATCTCTGTCCTTGAGAAAGCAACTATACAGTCACCATATTGAAAATTTCGAAAGTCTCCCAGCAGAATCTTGGCTTCAACTACTAATGGTTTGAACCTGCCATAATGATGTTCATGCAACTCATCTCCAGTATCTGAACAGATCTTTCTAACAATATTCAGAACAATTGGATCTCCACACAAATGTATCTCATCAGCTTTCAATCAAAGCAATGCGCGTGTCCATGCATAACCTGTATACAGGTCAGACATCATCTGGATTTCATCAATCACAGCCACATTATATAATTCTTCTGTTGACACCATTCTACAGTGCAGGCAACCTGATTCGAAAACGGTGCATATTTCTTTTCTTGCCCTGTGTGGAGGCTGCAATAAACTCCTTGTGCATTCACTTTGTCAAAAACTTCCATAGCCAAAAGCCAAAGTGGGCTGCAATAAATACCCTTCTTTGCTTCCATAAACCACTGGAAAGCATTGTAAGTCTTGCCTCTATTTGTTGGGCCACAATGATAAATAATCTTATGCTTCATTACCCGTGCAAAGGAAACCATGCATGTGGCTCCCTAAGATCAGCTAATTGAATCATACTTCGAAACCGCTTGATCTCATTGGGAAACTCTTCAATAGAAAACTCCACAAATATAGGGAAAAGAAACTTAACAGCAGCATCAGATGGACCAAG